CTCCGGGGTTTTGGGGATTTTTGGGATCCGTTTATTATCCTGTGTTTCCGCTGACTCCGGTTTGAACTGGTCTGGACTGGTTTGGGCTGGTCTGAACTGGTCTGGACTGGTCTGGACTGGGATCAGCTCCCATTTTGCTCCAATCCCAGGAGAAAAGAACGGAATTGCTCCGGGGTTTTGGGGATTTTTGGGATCCGTTTATTATCCTGCATTTCTGCTGGCTCCGGTTTGAACTGGTCTGGACTGGTCTGGACTGGTCTGGACTGGTCTGGACTGGTTTGGACTGGGAATGGTTCCCAGTTTGCCCCAATAAATCCCAGTTTGAGCCAATAAATCCCAGTTTGACCCAGAATTTTGGGGATTTTTGGGATGGGGCTCTTCCTGTTTGTTATCCCAGGAACCTGAACTGGTCTGGACTGGTCTGAACTGGTCTGAACTGGTTTGAACTGGTCTGGACTGGGATCAGCTCCCATTTTGCTCCAATCCCAGGAGAAAAGAACGGAATTGCTCCGGGGTTTTGGGGATTTTTGGGATCCGTTTATTATCCTGTGTTTCCGCTGGCTCCGGTTTGAACTGGTCTGAACTGGTTTGGACTGGTTTGAACTGGGAATGGTTCCCAGTCTGACCCAATAAATCCCAGTTTGAGCCAATAAATCCCAGTTTGCTCCAGGATTTGGGGGATTTTGGGGATTGGGCTCTTCCCATTTGTTATCCCAGAGACCTGAACTGGTCTGCACTGGTTTGGACTGGTCTGGACTGGTCTGGACTGGGAATGGTTCCCAGTTTGATCCCATAAATCCCAGTTTGTTCCAGGATTTTGGGGATTTTTGGGATTGGGTTCTTCCTGTTCATTATACCAGACTGGTCTGGACTGGTCTGGACTGGTTTGGACTAGTCTGGACTGGGAATGGCTCCCATTTGGATCCAATAAATCCCAGTTTGATCCAATAAATCCCAGTTTGATCCAATAAATCCCAGTTTGACCCAATAAATCCCAGTTTGATCCCATAAATCCCAGTTTGATCCAATAAATCCCAGGTTGAGTCAATAAATCCCAGTTTGATCCCATAAATCCCAGTTTGATCCAATAAATCCCAGTTTGATCCAATAAATCCCAGTTTGATCCCATAAATCCCAGTTTGATCCAATAAATCCCAGTTTGAGCCAATAAATCCCAGTTTGACCCAATAAATCCCAG